CACTCACTTTGGATTTTATTTTATTGCCTTTTTCTAATTTCTTAAGGTAAAAGGTTAGATCACAGATCTTTTTTTACTATTATTTATTTTTAAAATTTTATTATAGGGCATGTGTGCTCACCAGAGAGAAACAGAAAGAGAGGGAGGGAGAGAAAGCGAGAAAGCAAGCCTCTAAGTCCATGAGTCAACCCGCAGTTGCCATAAGGGAGTCCAGTGCCCTAACCACACCCCACTTGCTGGCCCCAAGATCACTGCTCTTAAGTCTTTCTTAGTTTATAATGTATTCATTGAAAATATAAATTTTTAGGTGCCACCAGGTGGTGTGGTGGTTAAGGTGCTGAACTCACACATGGTCGACCATGGTTTAATTCCAGAGCTGGAAGTTTGCTTTCTCACTTTCTGTCTCTCTGTCTCTGTCTCTCTCTCTGTGTGTGTCTCTTTATGGTGAGAACATGTGCCCTACAGCAAATTTTAAAATAATAATAAATAAAATTGGGGCCAGCAGGTGGCATGGTAGTTAAAGGCACTGGATTCCCACATGCCCAACAGTGGTGGTTCAAGTCCCAGTCCTGGCAGCTTGCTTTCTCCCTTTCCCTTTCTCTCTCTCTCTCTGGTCAAATTTTAAAAAGAATAATAACAAATGGGATGAAATAAATAAATAATTCTTAAAATAATAATAAAATTAACTAAGTCACTCTTTATAGAAAGGCATACATTTCCTTGAAACACTGCTTTAGTTGTAGCCCACAAATTGCTATTCAGTTGAGAATTCTTTCTCGTTGTCCTTGTGACCTATGGGTTATTCAGAAGTGTGTGGCCTTACTTCCAAACACTCGATGATTTTCTAGATAACATTTTATTATTGTTTTCTATTTTAATTTCATGATGGTCAGAGAACAAGCTCTGTATGATTTCAGTCTTTTGCAATTTACTGAGACATGGGGCTGGCAGGTGGCGTGGTAGTTGAGGTTGCTGGATTCCCATATGGCCAACCACGGTTCGAGTCCCAGACCTGGCAGCTTGCTCTCTCATTCTCTCTCTCTGTCTCTGTTTCTCTCTCTCTCTCGTCAAATTAAAAGATAAATAAATAAATAAATAAAGTTAAATAAGATAATTATAAAAAAATAAAAAAGAGGAAGAAGAAATTTACTGAGACTTATTTTCTAGCCTAAAGGCATGGGATTGTGTATTTGGTTGTGTTGTGTCTTGCTAACAGTTCAGGTTTTACCCTATGTCACACAGACAGATGAGCTGTCCCCTGCGTGTTTCTACCTATTGTTGAGCAGGTAGTATGGGTCTGTCTTTATTCTCGGAAATTGCTCTGCAGTGAGCAACCTTACATCTGTGCTGTTTACACTGTGCACGCATGTACGCTCCCTGCAGGAGAGGCAGGAGGGGAAGGTGTGTGCACCTTTAGAGCTGTCACTGCCTTCTCCCAGAGAGGCTGAACAGGTGCTGGATGGAGGTGCCCATTCCTCCACATCTTAGCCCATGCATGCAGCCCACGTGCAATCCCTTTATTTTACAAGATTGCATAATTTTTTATATTAAAAAGTTAATTGGGACCAGCAGATGGCATAATGGCTACGTCGCTGGACTCCCATGTAGTCAACCACGGTTCAAGTCCCGGACCAGGTGGCTTAAACTCACGTCAGGGGCGTCTGCGTGCGTGCCCAAGATCCTGAGAGGAGAATGGAGGAGAAGGGATTGCAGCGTGGCCATTCCCTCCCTCCGGGGTGATTTCTTGCTTTCTCTCTGCCTCTCTCTGTCTTTCTGGCAAACGCATGCGCCCTATAGCAAAAACCTCTCTCTTAAAAAAAAAAAATAAAGAGGTTAATTCCCCTTTGAAAAAGCAGTGTAATACACTGTAAAGTTATATGTAATCCAATGTAATATAAAGAAGATTATCATGATAATTAAAAAAAAAAAAAGAAGTTAATTGAGGGGGCTGGCAGGTGGCATGCTGGTTAAGGGCACTGAACTCCCACATGGCTAACCACGGTTTGAGTCTCAGACCTGGCGGCTTGCTTTCTCGTTTTGTGTCTGTCTGTCTGTCTGTCTCTCTCTCTCTCTTTCTTATCTGTCCCTCTCTGGTCAAATTTAAATAAATAAATAAAGTTAAATAAAATAATGTTAAAAAGGAAATTAACTGGGGAGCCAGCATGTGACATAGTAGTTAAGGTACTGGACTCACACATGGCTGACCAAGGTTCGAGTCCCGGACCCAGTGGCTTGAAAAATCCTACCAGGCATGTGTACATGCATGCCCCAAATCTCGGAAGGAGCAGGATTAGTGTGACTGTTTCCCCTAGGAGGTGATTTCTCACTTTCCCTCTCTGTCTTTCTCCAGCAAGTGCACATGTCCTATGGCAAAAACTAAAAGTTACTTGGGGCCAGCCTGTAGCATGGTGGTTGAGACAACTGGATCTTATATGGCTGGCTACCCAGAGTCCCAGACCTATGCCGGGCACATGTGCATGCAGGCCCGAAATCCCCAAAAGGGGAAGAATTGGAAGAGAAGAGGTCGTGGTACGACCATGCCCCACTGAGGGAGAGGAGGTCTTCCTCTCTCTCTCTCTCTCTCCTTTCTTCCCCCAGCAAGCACACAGTACTCACTGGCAAATAAAAAAGCAATGTAAGTACTGCCATTATAATGCATATTGGTCTTTCATTTATGTACTCATTTAATTTCCTAGAGGGCCTGAGCACTCACTAGGGAGAGAGAGAGCGCGAGAAAGCATCACTCACGTGGGATGGCCACACCGCAATTCCTTCTTCTCCATTTCTTTCAGAATTTTGGGCATGCATGCACATGTGCCCAGGGTGTTTTTCAAGTAGGCAGGTCTGGGATTTAAACCATGCAGTTGGCCATGTGGGATACAGCTGCCCTAACCACCGCGCCCCCAGCTGGCCCTGTTTACTTTTTAATTGGTAGAGGGCACCAGAGAGAGACAGAGAGGGAAGAGTACCCACCAATGGGGTGTGCAAGCTCCAGACAGTGAGAAGGAAGATGAGAAGTTACCGCTCAGCGGGGATAGCCACACCGCAATCCCTTCACCTCCGCTCTTCTCTTAGAGTCCTGGGCATGCACACGCACGCCCAGCATGATTTTCATGACACCAGGTCTGGGAGCTGAACTGCAGTTGGTCACATGGGATCTAGTTCCTTAAACCACTGCAGCACCTGCTGGCCCCTCCCCTTTGCTAATTTTTATCCTTTGTTTATTAAGTTAAATATAGTGGTCTTGGGGCTGGCAGGTGGCATAGTGGTTACTCCCACATGGCTGACCTCAGTTCGAGTCCCAGACTTGGGTGGCTTGTTTTCTCACTTTCTCTTCCTCTCTCTGTTCCTCTATGGTTAAGTTAAAGTAAATAAATAAATAAAGTTAAATAAAATAATTATTTTTTAAAATAAAATAAAATAAATGTAGTGATATTTTCCTTGAGCATCTGGACTTTCTTGCTTGTTTAGAAAAGTCTTCTTGGGACCAGCAGTTAGCGTAATGGCTATGTTGCTGGACTCCCACGTAATCGACCGTGGTTCGAGTCCCAGACCTGGTGGCTTGCTTTTGGTCTTTCCCTTTCTCTCTCTGTTCCTCTATGGTAAAGTTAAAGGAAATAAATAAATAAAGTTAAATAAAATAATTATTTTTTAAAATAAAATGAAATAAATGTAGTGATATTTTCCTTGAGCATCTGGACTTTCTTGCTTGTTTAGAAAAGTCTTCTTGTGGAGAAGTCCTGTCTGAGAGGACCAGCAACCATCCAGTATTTGGTCCCACAGCCTAGTGGGTAAGGGAGGCAGATTGCACATGGCCACCATGGTTCAAATCCTGGCCCCAGAAGCCTAAAAACCATGCCAGGGGACAGGCAACTGGCATGGTGGTTAGGGGCACTGGACTCCCACATGGCTGACCGTGGCTCAAATTTCGGACCTGGCAGCTTGCTTTCTAACTTTCTCTCTCTCTCTCTCCCCTTCTCTGGTCACATTAAAATAAGTAAATAAAGCTAATAAAAAAAAATTTCTTAAAAAACAAATACAAAACATTATGTCAGGCATATGTACATGGCCGCAAACCCCAACAGGACAAATGGCGAGCACACTGCAGTGTGGCCAGACCCCAGTGGGCAGTGCTCTCTCCCTCTCCCTCTCTGTCTCTCTGTCTCTCTCTGGCACGTGCCCTCTAATAATTGAAAGAAATTGTCCAGTATTTTCTTCTAGTACTTCTGTGCTTTTGTGTCTTAAGTCTTTGACAGTCCTGAAGTTTTAGTTAGTATTTCTCCAGCCACCCAAGCATCGTTTACTGAAGTCGGTGCTTCACAGTAGGGTTTTACTCAAAGGTGAAGGCAGACGCATGGGAAGCCAGGCTTGGAGATGAAAGAGGTGGAGGGTGCAGTGCAGGGGTGGGCCGGGCTGGCTGGGGATCCCCACTGTGGCTCTCACTCAGTACACCTTCACCACTGTGCACCAAGCACGGTCGGGGTGCTGGTGAGACCGCGGGGAACACGCAGGCACTGAGCACGACGCACAGCAAAGAAGCAGGTCACATGCAGCGTGGTTGCACTGTGACGGGTGAAAAGTAAGGCCGGTCAGGGAGGCGGTGACGAGTGACGTGGTTGGGTGGCCAGGGAGGACGACATCTGAGAAGGAAGAGAGAGCTCAGGGACAAGGTGGAATGGGGTCTAGGGCCGACATCGGTGTGAATTTTTTTGTGGGTTTGTCGGGACACAGTCATGGCTCCCACACATCCACCATGGCCGAATGGAGACCTCTCCACCCAGGGTAGGCCCCCTCGGACCTCCCAGGTCAGCTGGGACTCCTCCAAAACTCTTCGGAATCAACCGTGGCCCCTCAGGTCTCCCCTAGGATTGGCTGGGTCCCCCTTAGGTGCCCCAGGATTGGCAGGGACCTCTGCGTCCCCCAGGATCGCCTGGACCCCTCAGGCCTGGGCTTCCAGCATAGGCGGGCTGTGCCCAGCAGTGACCCTCTGCCCACCCCAGCACCTGGCCACATTCATCATGGACAAAAGCGAGGCCATCGTGTCTGTGGACGACGCCATCCGGAAGCTGGTGCAGCTGAGCTCCAAGGAGAAGCTCTGGACCCAGGAGATGCTGCTGCAAGTCGACGACAAGTCTCTGCGGCTGCTGGACATCGAGTCTGAGGTGTGCCCCGGCGGCCCGGATGCGGGACAGGCCTCCCTGGAGGGGCAGCCCATGGCAGACAGGCAGGGAGGGCTGCGTGAAGCTGAGAGTCCGGGGAGCAAGGCCAGCCTCCCTGCTGCCCGGGCATGCCCAGGGCCCTGCCTGCCCACAGCCTGCTCACCAGCCGCCCGCCTGCAGGAGGAGCTGGAGAACTTCCCGCTGCCGACCGTGCAGCACAGCCAGACCGTGCTGAACCAGCTGCGCTACCCGTCGGTGCTGCTCCTGGTGTGCCAGGACTCGGAGCAGAGCAGGCCCGACATCCACTTCTTCCACTGCGACGAGGTGGAGGTGAGGCGGCCGGCCGGCCCGCGTGGGCGGCGTGGGCGGCCCTGCCCCAGCCTGAGGCCTGACCCGGTCCCCGCAGGCAGAGCTGGTGCACGAGGACATCGAGAGTGCGCTGACCGACTGCCGCCTGGGGAAGAAGATGCGGCCACAGACCTTGAAGTAGGGCAGTGGGGGTGCGGGGAGTCGGAGGTCGCCCGGGGAAGGGACAGGTGTGGGTCAAGCCAGGCTGAGCAGAGCCCTCCTTGCCACTTCAGGGGGCACCAGGAGAAGATCCGGCAGCGCCAGTCCATCCTGCCGTCTCCCCAGGGCCCGGCCCCCATCCCCTTCCAGCGCCACGGCGGGGACTCCCCTCAGGCCAAGAACCGTGTGGGCCCGCCAGTGCCACTCAGTGAGCCAGGTGGGTGAGGGGCTGGGGGGCGCCACGCAGGGTGGGGGCTGGTCTGGATCAGTGGCTGGCT